CCCGACCATTCTACTCTTCCTCAAGGCTCTTTGCCTCTCGGTAGTGAGATCTGTATAACTAGCACACTGACCTAATCTAACATGCGTTTTGAGGGCTCTTTCACAATGAAAGGTACTCCCACAGGAAGGACACACCCACTTCTCTGTTGAGTCCGTTGCTCGGTCGAAACCAAGTTTCATCATCCTCAACTTATCCCCGTCCTCATCCACTATCCACCCCGCCTTCTTGACAATATACTTTACAGTGCTACCGTCATCATAAATAATTTCATGCGTGGGCTGGAACGAGGCATTCACATTCCCATCCTCTAGAGGCCTAAGCCATCCTTCATAGTATGAAGTTCATACGTACCGTCATCCCATTTCACCCCCACTCTTTCCTCACGCCTCTCAATCAGAACAATTTTGCTACTATCCGTACCTTTCACCATAGCCACTTTCTTCCCAGCATTTATCAAGAGTCCGACATAATAGGCAGCTGCTTGCAGTTCCTGCAGAAATATCTCCACGTCTCTTGCGGATTCCCCGGCAATATACAAATCATCAGCATAACCGAGCCATTCCACAACCAAACCTCTTTCCTGGCACGCTTTCAGTGCCGCTTTCAAACAATGATCTAATACCAATATGAATATCACAGGAGACAAGCAAGAACCCTGACGAACCCCTACTCTCTGGCTGAAAACATCAGAGACCTTACCATTTTGTGACACCCTTATAGCAACTCTAGCATCCGCATAAATCCTTTTTACTATATTCACCAGGAAAACTGGCATTCCAGCCGACTTCAAGACTTTCCACGAAGCTTCCCATGACAAAGAATCAAAGGCTTCCTGGAAGTCCACGAAGACTGATGCGATCTGGTTTGTACTCTCCCATTTCTTCCACAGTAGACGGACGGGATCTCTACAGCTCTTACCAGACGTGAAACCGAACTGATATTTCATTAATCGTTTCTCAGCAGCTTCCTTGATCCTATCTAATACAATTGCCGATATGATTCTTTCCAAATACGATAAAAGCGATATTCCTCGATAACCCT